AAGGAATGAGAGGTGAGGATGAAGGAATGAGAGGTGAGGATGAAGGAGGGAGAGGTGAGGATGAAGGAATGAGAGGTGAGGATGAAGGAATGAGAGGTGAGGATGAAGGAATGAGAGGTGAGGATGAAGGAATGAGAGGTGAGGATGAAGGAATGAGAGGTGAGGATGAAGGAGGGAGAGGTGAGGATGAAGGAGGGAGAGGTGAGGATGAAGGAGGGAGAGGTAGGATGAAGGAATGAGAGGTGAGGATGAAGGAATGAGAGGTGAGGATGAAGGAATGAGAGGTGAGGTTGAAGGAATGAGAGGTGAGGATGAAGGAATGAGAGGTGAGGATGAAGGAGGGAGAGGTGAGGATGAAGGAATGAGAGGTGAGGATGAAGGAATTAGAGGTGAGGATGAAGGAGGGAGAGGTGAGGATGAAGGAGGGAGAGGTGAGGATGAAGGAGGGAGAGGTGAGGATGAAGGAGGGAGAGGTGAGGATGAAGGAATGAGAGGTGAGGATGAAGGAATGAGAGGTGAGGATGAAGGAGGGAGAGGTGAGGATGAAGGAATGAGAGGTGAGGAGGAAGGAATGAGAGGTGAGGATGAAGGAATGAGAGGTGAGGATGAAGGAATGAGAGGTGAGGATGAGGGAGGGAGAGGTGAGGATGAAGGAGGGAGAGGTGAGGATGAAGGAATGAGAGGTGAGGATGAAGGAATGAGAGGTGAGGATGAAGGAGGGAGAGGTGAGGATGAAGGAATGAGAGGTGAGGATGAAGGAATGAGAGGTGAGGATGAAGGAATGAGAGGTGAGGAGGAAGGAATGAGAGGTGAGGATGAAGGAATGAGAGGTGAGGATGAAGGAATGAGAGGTGAGGATGAAGGAGGGAGAGGTGAGGATGAAGGAGGGAGAGGTGAGGATGAAGGAATGAGAGGTGAGGATGAAGGAATAAGAGGTGAGGATGAAGGAGGGAGAGGTGAGGATGAATGAATGAGAGGTGAGGATGAAGGAGGGAGAGGTGAGGATGAAGGAGGGAGAGGTGAGGATGAAGGAGGGAGAGGTAGGATGAAGGAATGAGAGGTGAGGATGAAGGAATGAGAGGTGAGGATGAAGGAATGAGAGGTGAGGTTGAAGGAATGAGAGGTGAGGATGAAGGAATGAGAGGTGAGGATGAAGGAGGGAGAGGTGAGGATGAAGGAATGAGAGGTGAGGATAAAGGAATGAGAGGTGAGGATGAAGGAATGAGAGGTGAGGATGAAGGAATGAGAGGTGAGGATGAAGGAGGGAGAGGTGAGGATGAAGGAGGGAGAGGTGAGGATGAAGGAAGGAGAGGTGAGGATGAAGGAATGAGAGGTGAGGATGAAGGAATTAGAGGTGAGGATGAAGGAGGGAGAGGTGAGGATGAGTGATGATGGGGGGGGGGGGGTTACAGAATTGAGGACGTGAGGGCCGGGAGGAGGCAGTGAGGGATCAGGGAGGAATGAATGAGAGGAGATGGGGGGGGGGCAGTGAGGGATCAGGGAGGGAGCGCAACAGAGGGATAATGATGGAGCGGTGGAGGAATGGGGGGGGGGTCAGGGAGAGAGGCATGAGGGAGAAAGACAGAGGGGTGGAGGGAGGGAGAAATAATGAGGGAGGGATCAGTGAGCGAGGGAGGGGGAGGGAGGGAGGGGGAGGGAGGGGGAGGGAGGGAGAGGGAGGGAGGGGGGAGGGAGGGGGAGGGAGGGAGGGGGAGGGAGGGGGAGGGAGGGAGGGGGAGGGAGGGGGAGGGAGGGAGGGGGAGGGAGGGGGAACTCTCTCAGCCCGCGGGCTGAGAGAGTTCCCGGCACTCGGAGCGAGCGCCGCGTCCCAACCACGAGCTCGGCACGCGGAGAGTCTCCCTCTCGTACGCTCTCTCAAGCTCTCTCTCTCTCACTCTCTCACTCGCTCTCTCACTCTCTCAAGCTCTCTCACTCTCTCTCTCAATCTCTCACTCGCTCTCTCAAGCTCTCTCTCTCTCACTCTCTCTCAAGCTCTCACTCTCTCTCACTCAATCTCTCACTCGCTCTCTCAAGCTCTCACTCTCTCTCTCACTCGCTCTCTCAAGCTCTCACTCTCTCTCTCACTCTCTCTCAAGCTCTCACTCTCTCTCTCACTCGCTCTCTCAAGCTCTCACTCGCTCTCTCACTGTCTCACTCGCTCTCTCACTCTCTCTCACTCTCTCTCTCAAGCTCTCACTCTCTCCCTCTCACTGTCTCACTCGCTCTCTCACTGTCTCACTCGCTCTCTCACTGTCTCTCACTCGCGCTCACTCTCTCACACTCTCTCCCAAGCTCTCAATCTCTCACTCGCTCTCTCACACTCGCCCTCACAAGCTCTCTCTCTCTCACTCGCTCTCTCACTCTCCCTCGCTCTCACTTTCTCACTCGCTCTCTCAAGCTCTCGCTCTCTCAAGCTCTCACACTCTCTCACTCTCTCTCTCGCACTCTCTCACTCTCTCAAGCGCTCTCACACTCTCACTCGCCCTCTCACTCTATATCACCGCTCTCTCTGTGTTTTTTTTACGATCAGAGAAAACAAGAAGATGCTCAATGTAGTCGGCACTTTGCTTCGTTCATCATTTCGTTTTTTGCGTGTTTCTTTAACGCTTTGCTTTATGTAACCCCCCCCCCCCCCTTTTGATGAAAGATTTAACAAAATATTTCACGTTCTGCTCTCCTTACCCCTTCCCTCTCTCCCTACTCCATGTCTATGTTCCCCCTATGTTTTCTATGTAATATTTGTAATATTACTATATATATTTATCTCTCTCACGCTCCCTCTCTCTCACGATCTCTCTATACCCACGCTCTCTCTCACCACATCTCCCATCTCCGTTGTTTCATCAACAAAGGGAGGGGAGGTGGGGGGGGGCGAGTTTCTGAAGAAGTGGGGTGTGTGGCCGTGTGTGTCTGCCTGTGTGTGGCCGTGTGTGACTGCCTGTGTGTGGCCGTGTGTCTGCCTGTGTGTGGCCGTGTCTGTCTGTGTGTCTGCCTGTGTGTGTCTGTGTGTGGCTGTGTTTGTCTGCCTGTGTGTGGCTGTGTGTCTGCCTGTGTGTGGCCGTGTCTGTCTGTGTGTGTCTGCCTGTGTGTGGCTGTGTGTCTGCCTGTGTGTGGCTGTGTGTGGCTGTGTGTGTCTGCCTGTGTGTGGCCGTGTCTGTCTGTGTGTGTCTGCCTGTGTGTGTCTGTGTGTGGCTGTGTGTGTCTGCCTGTGTGTGGCCGTGTGTCTGCCTGTGTGTGGCCGTGTCTGTCTGTGTGTGTCTGCCTGTGTGTGTCTGCCTGTGGCTGTGTGTGTCTGCCTGTGTGTGGCTGTGTGTGTCTGCCTGTGTGTGGCTCTGTGCGTCTGCCTGTGTGTGTCCGTCTTTGTGTCTGCGTGTCTGTCTGTGTAAGTGTGTCTGTGTAAGTGTGTCTGTGTGTGGCTGTGTTGTCTTTCTGTCTGTGCCTTTCTCTGCTTATGTGCGGTTTGTGTGCGTCTGCCTAATTGTGTGCGTGTGTGTCTGGGTGTGGCTGTGTGTGCGAGTGTCCGCGCGTGTCTTTTGTTGACACGCCTGTTGTGTGTGCGTGTGTGTTGAGTCAATTGAATGGGGGAGCAGTGGCGCAGTGGTTAGCGCACTGCGCTCTGAACGCAGCCAGCGGAACCCGAATTCACGCCGTGGCTCACATTGGCGGCGAATATCTGAGCCGGCTGGCTCTGGGCATCCTCTAGGGAAACTCAGCCTTAAATGAGTAGCTGGTACTGTGTGTGGTATTGAACATCGGCACTGGGGGGGGGGGGGGGGGAGACAAAGGCGGCTCGGCGTGGTTCTGGCCACACCTCCGCGCCGTGCGCCGTGCTCGCTAACAGCACTTGCCCCGACAGCCTGTGGAGGCTACACGTGGGGGAGGGAGTCTCTGTATTTGGTGTGTGTGCGCGCGTATGTAAGTGTGGGTGTGTGTGTAAGTACGTTTCATTACGTGGACCCTCTCCGACTTGTGCCATCAGAAATCCGCCGACGAATATGATGATGACGACGACGACGATGATGATATTGATGATTATTTTTCATAAGATACAGGAGCCAGAGGAGATGTAATTGTGAGTCAAGGAGATGCAGCGAGCACGTGAGTGCAAAGGAGATCGTTCTTGCGAATAGCGACCAGCGAGGGTACTGATGGAGGTGATGATGTGAGAGATGATAACGACGGTGATGATGATGATGAATCTGGACCAGTGAAAATGGTGATGGACGAGATAGTGAGGAGGTAGAATTTGACCACACGCGTTGACGAAGACAGGTGATGTGGATGCCGGTGATGATTTATAACGAGATGATGATGATGATGTTCATTTAGACGATGTGCATACTCACGGTGAAGAAGACACTGATGATGATGATGACGATGATGTAGATTGTAGAGGATCGTGAAGATAACTTTAATGACAACACGGATGAGCATGGTTCTGGTCTAAAACATTTGAAGACTGCCGACGATGATGATGATGATGAAGACAATGATGAAGCCACTGCCGACGATGATGATGATGTAGAGGATGATGAAGACACTGCCGATGATGATGATGTAGAGGATGATGAAGACACTGCCGTTGATGATGATGATGTAGACGATGATGAAGCCACTGCCGATGATGATGATAATGATTAAGAGGATGATGAAGACACTGCCGACGATGCTGATGATGTAGAGTACAATGGAGACACTGCCGATGATGATGATGTAGAGGATGATGAAGCCACTGCCGACGATGATGATGATGTAGAGGATGATGAAGACACTGCCGTTGATGATGATGATGATGTAGACGATGATGAAGCCACTGCCGATGATGATGATGATTAAGAGGATGATGAAGACACTGCCGACGATGCTGATGATGTAGAGGATGATGAAGACACTGCCGACGATGCTGATGATGTAGAGGATGATGAAGACGATGATGAAGACACTGCCGACGATGCTGATGATGATTAAGAGGATGATGAAGACACTGCCGTTGATGATGATGATGTAGAGGATGATGAAGACGATGATGAAGCCACTGCCGATGATGATGATGATGATTAAGAGGATGATGAAGCCACTGCCGACGATGCTGATGATGTAGAGTACAATGGAGACATCACTGCGTCTGCTGCTATGCTTCTGATTCTGCTACTCATGATCCTCTTGCTGGCAACCACCACCACGACCACCACCACCACCACCACCCTTCGCAGCTGAACCCCTCTCTCCTCCATGGCCACCGCCGCGCGTATGAAGACGGAGGGGGAGGACTCCTTCGTGGTGTTCACTCCGGGCGATCGCACGGCCACTGTGACACGTTCGGGCCTCCTGAGCGAGCCGCGAGCCTCCTCCTCGTCCACCTCCTCCTCCTCCAGGTGGAGGGCCGCTCTCGCGACTCCTGACCGCTCCCCCGAGTCTGACCACCACCACCACCATCACCGCCGCAGCAGTGGGCCGAGTTCACAGACCCCGCGGGGTCCCGGTGGGAGTGGGGAGAGGAGGACGAGGAGGTCGCGCCGGCAGCAGCGCTTCGTGGAGAAGGACGGCCACTGCAATGTCCAGCACGGCAACGTTAGCGGCGAGGCTGGCCGCTACCTCTCCGACATCTTCACCACCTTGGTGGACCTCCGCTGGCGATGGAACGTGGCCATCTTCGTGCTCACCTATTCCACGGCGTGGCTCGCCATGGGCTCGCTCTGGTGGGGCATCGCTTACCTGCGCGGTGACCTCGACGCCGCGCTGCACGGCGGCGATAGCGGAGGAGGATGCGGAGGAGGCGATGGAGGAGAAGGAGGTGGAGGCGATGGAGGAGGAGGAGGAGGAGGTGGAGGTCGAGGAGGTGTCTCCTACTCGCCGTGCGTCGCCAACGTGCACAGCTTCGCCACCGCCTTTCTCTTCTTCATTGAGACAGAGGCGACCATCGGATACGGCCACCGCTACATCACGGAGCGCTGCCCCGAGGGCATCCTCCTCTTCCTCTTCCAGTCGCTCCTCGGCTCCGTGGTGGACGCCTTCCTCATGGGCTGCATCTTCATCAAGGTGAGGAGGAGGAGGACGCGGTGGAGGTGCAGCGGCAGTGACGATGTCGACCGTCTTCAGCTCGGAGGTCGAGAGGCAATCGCTGATGGTTCGGCTCTCGCCCGTCCGTCGCGGAGGGCTCGTGTCTCCACGCGTGTCCCGTGTCCCCCGCGTCTCCACGCGTGTCCCGTGTCCCCCGTGTCCCCACGCGTGTCCCGTGTCCCCCGTCTCCCCACGCGTGTCCCGTGTCCCCCGTGTCTCCACGCGTGTTCCGTGTCCCCACGCGTCCCCCGTGTCCCCCGTGTCTCCACGCGTGTCCCGTGTCCCCCGCGTCCCCACGCGTGTCCCCCGTGTCCCCACGCGTGCCCCGTATCCCCACGCGTGTCCCCCGTGTCCCCCGTGTCCCACGCGTGTCCCCCGTGTCCCCACGCGTGTCCCCCGTGTCTCCACGCGTGTCCCCCTTGTCCCACGCGTGTCCCCCGTGTCCCACGCGTGTCCCCCGTGTCCCACGCGTGTCCCCCGTGTCCCACGCGTGTCCCCCGTGTCCCACGCGTGTCCCCCGTGTCCCACGCGTGTCCCCCGTGTCCCACGCGTCCCCCGTGTCCCCACGCGTGCCCCGTGTCTCCACGCGTGTCTCCACGCGTCCCCCGTGTCCCCACGTGTCCCCGTGTCCCCACGCGTCCCCCGTGTCCCTACGCATCCCCCGTGTCCCCACATATGTTCCCTGTGTCTCTCAAAGTGTCACCACTTGATTTGTCTCTCTGTGTCCTCGTCCCTCCCCGTGTCGCACCCCCCCACCACCCCCACCCTCGTGTCTCCCCCGTCTCATATCCCCGCATGTCCCCCGTGTCTCTTCATCTCCACGTGACTGTCTACCCCGTGTCTCTCCTCGTGTCTACCCTGTCCCTCCCAATGCCCTCATGTGTCTCCCCCCCACGTGCCGCCTCGTGTCCTCATATTCTTTGTCTCCCCATGTCTCTGTCTCCCATGTCCCGGCGTGTCTCCTCTCTCTCCCCGACCTACACCCACCCGTGTCTCTTCTCTCTCCCCGACCTACACCCCCCCCCCCCCCCGTGTCTCCTCTCTCTCCCCGACCTACACCCACCCCCATGTCTCCTCTCTCTCCCCGACCTACACCCACCCCCGTGTCTCTTCTCTCTCCCCGACCTACACCCACCCACGTGTCTCCTCTCTCTCCCCGACCTACACACCCCACCCCCGTGTCTCCTCTCTCTCCCCGACCTACACCCCCCACCCCACGTGTCTCCTCTCTCTCCCCGACCTACACCCCCCGTGTCTCCTCTCTCTCCCCGACCTACACCCCCCCCGTGTCTCCTCTCTCTCCCCGACCTACACCCCCCTGTGTCTCCTCTTTCTCCCCGACCTACACCCCCCCGTGTCTCCTCTCTCTCCCCGACCTACACCCCCCCCCCCGTCTCCTCTCTCTCCCCGACCTACACCCTCCCGCCCATCCCTCCCCCACCTCGTGTCTCGTGCCGCGTGCCCACGAGGAAGATGTCCCAGCCGAAGAAACGGGCCGAGACGCTGATGTTCAGCCGCGAGGCGGTGGTCTCGAGCCGGGACGGACGCCTCTGCCTCATGTTCCGCGTGGGGAACCTACGCAGCAGTCACATGGTGTCCGCTCAGATTCGCTGCAAGCTCATCAAGGTATCCTCCGCTTCAGCATCATCATCATTATTATTACTAAGTATTATTGTTATTGTGACGATACGTCCTCGCTTAACGCCTGGTCTTCACACTTTGAAGCGCGTTGTCGATATACAGGGAGTTCTCTACTTACGAACGTGTTGGGTTCCAGAGGTCTGTTCGTAAGTCGATTTGTTCGTAAGTCCAACTTTACTCCTGTTGATTCCAAACACGTTGTACGGCGTGTACACTAAACACGGGGAATGGCTTTAAAAGTTATATAATCTCCTGTAGATCTAAATGTAGAAGCCACGGGTTCTTCACGTTCTTCAGATGTAGATGCCACTGGTTCTTCACGTTCTGTGGATGTAGATGCCACTGGTTCTTCACGTTATGTAGATGTAGATGCCACTGGTTCTTCACGTTCTGCAGATGTAGATGCCACTGGTTCTTCACGTTCTGCAGCTGTAGATGCCACTGATTCTTCACGTTCTGCAGATGTAGATGCCACAGGTTCTTCATTTTCTGCAAATGTAGATGCCACTGGTTCTTCATGTTCTACAGATGTAGATGCCACTGGTTCTTCATGTTCTGCAGATGTAGATGCCACTGATTCTTTACGTTCTGCAGATGTAGATGCCACTGGTTCTTCATGTTCTGCAGATGTAGATGCCACTAGTTCTTCACGTTCTGCAGATGTAGATACCACTGGTTCTTCACATTTTGCAGATGTAGATGCCACTGGTTCTTCATGTTCTGCAGATGTAGATGCCACTGGTTCGTCACGTTCTGCAGATGTAGACACCACTGGTTCTTTACGTTCTGTAGCTGTAAATGCCACTGGTTCTTCATGTTCTGCAGATGTAGATGCCACTGATTCTTCACGTTCTACAGATGTAGACGCTACTGGTTCTTCATGTTCTACAGATGTAGACGCTACTGGTTCTTCATGTTCTGCAGATGTGGACGCCAATGGTTCTCCATGTTCTGCAGATGTAGATGCCACTGATTCTTCACGTTCTGTAGATGTAGACGCTACTAATTCTTCACGTTCTACAGATGTAGACGCCACTGGTTCTTCACGTTCTACAGATGTAGATGCCACTGGTTCTTCATGTACTGCAGATATAGATGCCACCACCGCCATCCACTGCGCGGTGGTTAAAATTACGACTCTCTGTCCGAAGAGGCAACTGGAAACACTTTTCGCACAACATGGTACGCGCCCCCCGTTATAACGCAAAACGCGCCCCCCCCCGTTATAAGGCAAAACGCGCCCCCCCTCGTTATAACGCAAAACGCGCCCCCCCCCGTTATAACGCAAAACGCGCCCCCCGTTATAACGCAAAACGCGCCCCCCGTTATAACGCAAAACGCGCCCCCCCCGTTATAACGCAAAACGCGCCCCCCCCCGTTATAACGCCAAAACGCGCCCCCCCTCGTTATAACGCAAAACGTGCCCCCCCCGTTATAACGCAAAACGCGCCCCCCCCCGTTATAACGCAAAACGCGCCCCCCGTTATAACGCAAAACGCCCCCCCCCCCCGTTATAACGCAAAACGCGCCCCCCCTCGTTATAACGCAAAACGCGCCCCCCCCCGCTATAACGCAAAACGCGCCCCCCGTTATAACGCAAAAACGCGCCCCCCTCGTTATAACGCAAAACACGCCCCCCCCCCGTTATAACGCAAAACGCACCCCCCGTTATAACGCAAAACGCGCCCCCCCTCGTTATAGCGCAAAACGCGCCCCCCCCCCCGTTATAACACAAAACGCGCCCCCCGTTATAACGCAAAACGCGCCCCTGTTACAACGCGGGTTCTGAGCGGTCGACAGCGAACTACTTTCTTACTAAACCGGCTGAGCGGCACGATACGGTACGCGGAATGATACGTTAACGTGGCGGCGTACCCTCATTTCTGCTCGCTGTGTGCGTAGTAGTACATCGTATCTCGCCAAACATGAACAATTAACACGTCGGCTTTCACGACCAATACTATTTATAACAAAGGTTTTTTTTTTAAATCGTGAATAAACCTCATCGTCTTACATTATGTGTGGAAATTGTTCTCGCTTAACGCGTTTTTTGCTTAACTTTTCACGAACGCATCTACGGCGTTAAACGAGCACTCGCTTGGTAGAACCTTCAACTCGTAACACTCTCTCTCTCTCTAACACTCTCTCTCTCTAACACTCTCTCTCTAACACTCTAACACTCTCTCTCTCTCTAACACTCTCTCTAATACTCTCTCTCTAACGCTCTCTCTCTCTAACACTCTCTCTCTCTCTAACACTCTCTCTCTAACACTCTCTCTCTCTCTAACACTCTAACACTCTCTCTCTCTCTCTAACACTCTAATACTCTCTCTCTAACGCTCTCTCTCTCTAACACTCTCTCTCTCTAACACTCTCTCTCTCTAACACTCTCTCTCTAACACTCTCTCTCTAACACTCTCTCTCTCTAACACTCTCTTTCTAACACACTCTCTCTCTCTAACACTCTCTCTCTAACACTCTCGCTCTAACACTCTCTCTCTCTCTAACTCTCTCTCTAATACTCTCTCTCTAACACTCTCACACTCTCTAACACTCTCTCTCTAACACTCTCTCTCTCTCTAACACTCTCTAACACTCTCTCTCTCTATCTCTCTAACACTCTCTCTTCTTACACTCTCTCTCTCTAACACTCTCTCTATCTCTAACACTCTCTCTCTCTCTAACACTCTCTCTCTCTCTCACACTCTCTCTTCTTACACTCTCTCTCTAACACTCTCTCTATCTCTAACACTCTCTCTCTCTAACACTCTCTCTCTAACACTCTCTAACACTCTCTCTTCTTACACTCTCTCTCTAACACTCTCTCTATCTCTAACACTCTCTCTCTAACACTCTCTAACACTCTCTCTTCTTACACTCTCTCTCTAACACTCTCTCTATCTCTAACACTCTCTCTCTAACACTCTCTAACACTCTCTCTAACACACTCTCTCTCTCTCTAACACTCTCTAACACCCTCTGCTCCTCTGGTCAACCGCGGCTCTCACCCCCACGACCCAGTCTCGCCAGACGGCCGAGGGTGAGTTCCTGCCGCTTGACCAGCTCGACCTGGACGTTGGCTTCAGCTCAGGCGCCGATCAGCTCTTCCTCGTCTCCCCGCTCACCATCTGCCACGTGGTGGACGCGCGCAGCCCCCTGTACGAGATGTCGCGCGCCTCGCTGCACGACGGCTCGCCCCAGCTCGAGATCGTCGTCATCCTGGAGGGCATCGTGGAGACCACCGGTGCGTCGTGGTGTTTAAAAACCAGCAGCCGCACCACCACCACCACCACCACCGCCATCATCCCCACCAGCCCCACCGGCCCCACCACCTCCACTACCACCACTGCACCAACACCCCCACCGCCCCACACCTACAACCCCCACCCCACCACTCCACCACCACCCCCACCCCATGCCCACCATACCACCCCACACCACCACCACCACCCCCACTAATCTCACCCTCACCTCCGCCAGCCCCACCACCCACCACCAAAACCCCCACCACCACCCCCACCACCACTCTCACCACCCCACCCTCACCCCCACCACCACCATCATCAGTGTGAGTTAGGGGGTTTCACTATCGCCGATAAGACATCATCAGTGTGAGTTAGGGGGGGTCACTTTGGCCGATAAGACATCATCAGTAGGACACGTGTGTGTTTGTAACACACGTGTCCAGTAGGGGCACGTGTGTTTTTAACACACACACACACACGTGTCCAGTAGGGACACGTGTGTGTGTGTGTGTTAAAAAAACACACGTGTGTGTGTGCGTTTTTAACACACGTGTCCAGTAGGGGCACGTGTGTGTTTTTAACACACACGTGTCCAGTAGGGGCACGTGTGTTTTTAACACACACACACGTGTCCAGTAGGGACACGTGTATGTGTGTGTTAAAAAAAACACACGTGTGTGTGTGCGTTTTTAACACACGTGTCCAGTAGGGGCACGTGTGTGTTTTTAACACACACGTGTCCAGTAGGGGCACGTGTGTGTTTTTAACACACACACGTGTTCAGTAGGGGCACGTGTGTGTTTTTAACACACACACGTGTCCAGTAGGACACGTGTGTGTGTGTTTGTAACACACACACACGTGTCCAGTAGGGGCACGTGTGTGTGTGTGTGTTTTTAACACACGTGTCCAGTAGGGGCACGCGGTCAGCAAATTTAAAACGACAAAACGATGCAAAAACACCACGATGGGAGTGCGAAGTAGATCAAAGGTAGAAGCAAGTCGCGTAATAAACACGAACCAGACAACGGTCTCGTCTCATCCACCACCACCACCACTGTGTTCAACTACCACCACCACACCACCACCACTGTGTTCATCCACCACCACCACCACACCACCACCACACTGTGTTCAACCACCACCACCACCACACTGTGTTCAACCACCACCACACCACCACCACTGTGTTCATCCACTACAGCACACTCACGCTCCCACTCATTCACTCACGCACTCACCCACCCATTCACCCACTCACTCACCCACTCACTCACTCACCCACTCATTAATTCACTCACCCACCCACTCACCCACTCACTCACCCACCTGCTCACTCACCCACCCGCTCACTCACCTACCCACTCACCCGCTCACTCACTCACCCACTCACTCACCCACCTGCTCACACACCCACGCACTCACCCACCCACTCATTTATTCACCCGACCATCGTCGCCTCCAGCCTTGTCGAGGCCGCGGTCTGCCAGACCAGCCGGGCCTCCTGGACGGCAGCTCGCATCCACGCAGCCCTTCCAGCAAGCAGCGAGCCGCCCGCCAACCCTGAGACGTCCCCAGCGTTCACACCGGCGCGCGATCGCGACGCTGGCCGAGTTGGTGGTGTGGGCAAGGCTGAGTGAGACCACGCCCTCTTGCGCGTTCGCGGTCGTGGTCGCGGTTAGCGAGCGGCGCCACGAACCCGGCGACCCGAGTTCGACTCCCCGCTCACGGCCAACACCCAGTGACGTTCGTCTTAACCGGTCCTGGGGCCTCCCCCTAGGTCGACTCGGCCTCAAACGAGTACCCGGTGCGGTGTGTGGTAGACATCGCCACTGGGGAGACAAAGGCGGCCGGGCGTGGTGCCGGCCACCCACCCACCCCCTCGTGCGCCACAGTGCCGGTAGCCTTCACAGGTGCTGCTCGCTAACAGCACTTGCCCCAACAGTCTGCCAAGGCTATACGGGGAGAGAGGCAGGGGGGGTGGTGGGTATCTTTGCCTTTGTGTTGCATTGATCCCGTGGGTGGTGAGCGCAGGGATGACGTGCCAGGCGCGCACCTCGTACACGGAGGACGAGGTGCTGTGGGGGCACCGCTTCCTGCCCGTGATGTCCCTGGAGGAGGGCTTCTTCCGCGTCGACTACTCGCAGTTCCACGCCACCCTCGAGGTGCCCACGCCGGAGCTGAGCGCGCGCGAGCGGGACGAGCTCGAGGCGAGCTGGGGCCTCGAGGGGCCCGGCTACGCCGCGTGGCCGCAAGAGAAGAACGGCCGCCGTGGCCTTGGCGACGGAGGAGGAGATGGAGGAGGAGATGGAGGAGGAGGAGATGGAGGAGGAGGAGATGGAGGAGGAGATGGAGGAGGAGATGGAGGAGGAGATGGAGGAGGAGATGGAGGAGGAGATGGAGGAGGAGGAGGGCGAGATGGAGCAGGTGCAGGAGGAACAGGAGGTAGAGGCTGCGTGGTCGCTCCGACCTTGACCCCGAATAGAACGCCGACCTTGACCTCCAGCCTCGCTGTGCATAGGCAGCAGCATCATCATCAGCAGCAGCAGCATCAGCAGCATCATCATCAGCAGCAGCAGCATCAGCAGCATCATCAGCAGCAGCAGCATCATCATCAGCAGCAGCAGCATCAGCAGCATCATCAGCAGCAGGTCGCACTGCCGCCCAAACTCCGGAAGATGAGCGTCGGCTTCGAAGTTCAATCCCGGACACTGGCGGGGAAGATGGGGGGCCAGGGCGTGCCGGGGGGGCTGGGGGGGCTCGGGGAGGGGGGGCTGGGGGGGAGGCCCAGGGTCGGAAGTTCCCCCGGGGGGGCCCAGCGGAGGCCTCGGCACCGCGCCGCTTGGAGCTCGGCGGGCGACCTCGTGGGGGACCCGTCCGTGGTCCAGGAGTCCAACTCGGGCCGCGTCATCCGCGGTGGCACTGAACCACCACAACAACAACAACAACCGCCGCCACCACCACCACCACAGCCACCACAGCCACCACAGCCGGCGTCGGCGTGGAGGCAGGCTGGACACCAACTGCCGGCGAAAGTGCGCAAGATGAACGGATGAGCCGGACAAGAGGATAAACTGAGCACGGCCATGGGAACGTGGAATGGCCGCCACTGGCTTATGATCATCAACGAAGAGTTGTAGGGGAACTGTCAATCAACTCTCGTGGGGGGTGGGGGGGGGCACAGAGGCTGTGTCCCGGACCCCCACACAGCGGCGCGAGGAGCTGACTCTGCCTTGGCTCTGCCGAGATGCGGGCTGATCACAGGGCTTAACGCCACTGTGTGTGTGTACACGTGTGTGTGTGTGTGTGCATGTGTGTGTGTACACGTGTGTGTGTGTGCATGTGTGTGTGTACACGTGTGTGTGTACAGGTGTGTGTACACGTGTGTGTGTATGTGTGTGTACACGTGTGTGTGTACACGTGTGTGTACACGTGTGTGTAGATGTGTGTGTACACGTGTGTACACGTGTGTATGTGCACACGTGTGTGTGTGTGGACGTGTGTGTACATTGTGTATATGTGTGTGTGTACACACGTGTGTATGCGTACACGTGTGTGTGTACACGTGTGTGTGTGTAGATGTGTGTGTATACACGTGTTTTGTTGTTGTTGGGGAGCGGTGGTGTAGTGGTTAGCGCGCTGCGCTACGAACCCGGCCATCCGGGTTCGATTCCCGATCACGGTCACCAACACCAGTGACGATTATCTGAACCGGTCCTGGGCCTCCCCTAGGTCGACTCAGCCTCAAATTAAAACTAATTTCTTTCGAACTGCTCGTTGTTCTTGTTGCTGTTGTGCTTGCTGTCCTCCTCCACCACCCCCCGCACCCACGATTAGCGCGGTTGGCTACGCACGGCGCGAAAGAAGTCCAACGTACATCTCCACTTGGGGGGATGGGTGGCCAGCAACCACGCCCGACCGCCTTTGTTTCCCTATCGGCACCAGGTTCTCATTTGAGGCTGAGTCGACCGCCACAGGGTGCCCGTTTACTCGCACGTTGCCACAAAAGTCTGCGCGTCTTTAGGGCGGGATCTGTGTCTTTGCGTGCGCGTCTCTGCGTGTGCGTTGATATATTATCGGGATCAATTCTGGCGGCAGCGGTTGCGTTGGCTGGGTCCTGTAGCCCGGGTGCCATGGGGCGCCGCGGTGGCTAGGAGATGTTAACGACCTCGCCTGGTATACAGCAGGTCGTGGGTCTTTCGGTAAAGTCACGTAGAAGGGAAATAATGAAATAATAAAAATATAAAGCAATAACATTCTCACGACGTTTCGATTGCAACACAAGCAATCGTCATCAGGTGTGAAAACCGCCACTTTTTTAAAAAAAATATTGCTGTGGTTTTCACACCTGATGATGATTGCTTGTGTTGCAATCGAAACGTCGTGAGAATTGTATTGTTTTATTTTTTTTATTTCATTATTTCCCTTCTACGTGGTGACTTTACCGAAAGAACCAAGAATATGAATCCCTGCAGTCACGAAAGCTTTAAATCGAAAAAAAGGCTGCTGTATATTTGGAGTTTGCGTGTCTCTCTCTCTCTTTCACTCATCATTATCACGGTGGCTAGGAGATGCTAACTACCTCGCGTTTAGAATCAACGTCACGCGTTTAGATTATTTGGCTGCTGCTACGATTGTCCACGTCATGATGATGATGATGCTTCGCCGAGCTATCGTTTTGTGATGGCCAGGTCGCTTCTGAAAAAGAGAGGAGATACGCAGCTCAGCGAGGGCCTTACCTGGTCCAATAAAAACAACAATAATTTATACTCTTTGGTTCTATTGGGTAAAGTCACGTAGGTAAAAAATAAAATAACAAAAATCACTTTTTACCTACATGACTTTACCCAATAGAACCAAAGAGTATGGATCTTAGCAGTCACGAAAGCTTTAAATCTAGAACAATAATTTAGAATGTTTTTGACTGACACATGACCTGCAGATGCACCACGTGCGCTCTCCGTAGTCGAGTGTTTTTGTTGGGTTACATCGCGTGAATATATTAGAGTGTGAGAGTGTGTGTGTGTAAGAGTGTGTGTAAGAGTGTGTGTGTGAGAGTGTGTGTGTGAGTGGAGAGTTTCCCATACCTAGGCAGTGTGTTTATGACCGGCTCCAGTTTAATAGCAGAGGTCTCACTCCGAATCAGTCGAGCGGCAATATCTTTTCATCGGTTGCGTAACCCTGTGTGGAAGCTACCTGGTCTGTCGCTCCGCACTAAGCTTCAGGTCTTCTCGGCCACGGTCATTCCCTCCCTTCTCTACGCTTGCGAAACGTGGACCCCCTTAATGGAGCATCTTCGCCGGTTAAAAACATTTAGGCTAGCCTGCCTACGATCCATCCTGGATTTAACCAGGCTGGATTGTGTGAGGAGCTCACAAATCCTTGACGGATCTGGGCAAGGTCCCATCGGTGAGCTCCTCCGGCAGGCAAAGCTGCGTTGGCTGGGTCATGTAGCCCGCATGCCCAGCCACCGCATGCCGAAACAGCTTTTGTTCGGCCGGATCGAGGGGGCTAAACGGGCGCGGCACGGGCTAGAAAAGAGATGGAGTGATGTGGTACAGGAGGCCGTGGAGCTGAGTGGACTTGCCGATGACTGGTACCAGCGGTGTAAAGATCGGCCTCTGTGGAGGAGGCTCGTGAAGGACGCTACTGGGCAGTTGGAGGCAGTCGCCCTCCAACAACAGCGGAGGGCGGAGGAGCGACGCTCACAACAACGAGCGGAGCGCCGGGTGGCTAAAGCACAGCAGGTTGGCACAGTAGGGGGCACAGGTGGTGCATCAGCCACTCATCTCAGTCAGTCGACCCGTGGCACCTGGATCTGCCCCGTGACCTCCTGCCAGCGGGCGTTCGACACTTCACGTGATAGCCTCAAGGTGCACATAGCCTGGCACAAGCGTCGTGGTGACGTCACCGCCACTTAGTGGCGAATGGCGGTTGGTGTTGATTGGTGTTGTATCCGCGTTGTCTCGTAGCTGCCACGTGCTTCGTCGCTCACGTTTCCTACCCGGCATGCATTTCGACATTTCTCCTTGCACGGTATCCATGCCGCAGCCTCCTGCGCCCTTCTCCACCCCCCCCCCCAACACTGAAAGGCCTAGAACCGCGAATATATGTGACGAAGGGCCATTGCCCGAAACGTCGCCTATTGTATACCCCCCCCTACCCCCCATCCCCTTTAAGACTACGATGTTATAGAGGAACGTGTGGCATGTCTCTGCATGTTCTATTTGTGTTTGTTAATGGGCGAGAACTCGGGAGGGGTGGGGACGAAATGAAGCCCACAACGCTCTACGCGAGCGTTAATCGCTGCACCAGTTCACGTTGTCTGAAACTCCCTAGATCCCAAATCGACCTCGTCGTTGTGAAGAGCCATGGAGGAGGCGGTGGGTGGGGGTGGTGGAGAGGAGAGGGGTGGGCCACAGATTTGGGCTGCGTCGGATTTGACTCGTCGAGTATTAAATGGAAATCTAAAACAGCTGTCTGAGTTGCGTTTGAATGAATGCTAAAGAACAGAGAATGCGCGGAGTGGCTTTCGTTTGGTGGCGATGGGCGGGTGGGGATGAGCAGGGGGGCGGAAATAAATATACAATGGTTGACGTTTCGGGCAATGGCCCTTCTCCACATCGTACATTTACGTCTTTAGAGCGGACCTCATGGAGGTGTGCCGGGCCGGCCTTCGTATAGGTATTCGCTAACGGCACTTTCCCCAAAAGTGTGAAGTGATGTCTGTAGCTGGTGAGCCTGGGTGTTGGACGTGAGCGGGAGTCGAACTCGGGTCGCCGGGTTCGTGGAGCCGCTCGCTAACCGCGACCACGACCGCGAACGCGCAAGAGGGCGTGGTCTCACTCAGCCTTGCCCACACCACCAACTCGGCCAGCGTCGCGATCGCGCGGCGGTGTGAACGCTGGGGACGTCTCAGGGTTGGCGGGCGGCTCGCTGCTTGCTGGAAGGGCTGCGTGGATGCGAGCTGCCGTCCAGGAGGCCCGGCTGGTCTGGCAGACCGCGTCCTCGACAAGGCTGGAGGCGACGATGGTCGGGTGAAACAATGAGTGGGTGGGTGAGCGGGTGGGGGGGGGGGTGTGAGCGAGTGGGTGGGTGGGTGGGTGAGTGGGTGGGTGAGCGGGTGGGTGAGTGAGCGGGTGAGTGAGCGAGTGGGTCAGTGGGTGAGTGAGTGAACGGGTGGGTGAGTGAGTGAGTCAGTGGACGAGTGAGTGAGTGGGTCAGTAGGTGAGTGATTGAGTGGGTGGGTGAGTGAGCGGGTGGGGGGGGGGGTGAGTGAGTGAGCGGGTGGGTGGGTGAGTGGGTGAGTGAGTGAGTGGATGGGTGAGTGAGTGGGTGTGTGAGCGGGTGAGTGGGTGGGTGAGTGGGTGAGTGAGCGGGTGGGTGAGCGAGTGGGGGGGTGAGTGAGCGGGTGTGTGAGCGGGTGAGTGGGTGAGTGGGTGGGTGAGCGGGTGGGGGGGTGAGTGAGCGGGTGTGTGAGTGGGCGAGTGAGCTGGTGGGTGGGTTAATGGGTGAGTGAGCGGGTGGGTGACTGAGTGGGTGAGTGAGCTGGTGGGTGGGTGAGTGAGTGAGTGAGGGGGTGGGTGAATGAGCGTGTGGGTGAGTGGGTGAGTGAGCGGTTGGGTGGGTGAGTGAGCGGGTGAGTGAACGGGTGGGTCACTGGGTGAGTGAGTGAGCGGGTGGGTGAGTGAGTGGGTTAGTGGGTGAGTGAGTGAGTGGGTCAGTGGGTGAGTGAGTGAGTGGGTGGGTGGGTGGGTGAGTGAGCGGGTGGGTGGGTGAGTGGGTGGGTGAGTGAGTGGGCGGGTGAGTGAGTGGGCGGGTGAGTGGGTGGGTGAGTGAGTGGATGTGTGAGCGGGTGAGTGGGTGGGTGTGCGGGTGGGTGAGTGGGTGAGTGAGCTGCAGGGTGGGTGAGTGGGTGAGTGAGCGGGTGGGTGAGCGGGTGGGTGGGTGAGTGAGCGGGTGAGTGAGCGGGTGGGTCAGTGGGTGAGTGAGTGGGTCAGTGAGTGAGTGAGTGAGTAGGTGAGTGAATGGGTGATTGAGCGGGTGGGTGGGTGAGTGGGTGAGTGGGTGGGTGAGTGAGTGGGTGAGTTAGTGGGTGAGTGAGCGGTTGGGTGAGTGAGCGGGTCGGTGAGTGAGTGGGTGGGTGGGTGAGTGAGTGGGTGACTGAGCGGGTGGGTGGGTGAGTGGGTGAGCGGGTGTGTGAGTGGATGAATGAGCGGGTGGGTGAGTGGATAAGTGAGCGGGTGGGTGAGTGGGTGAGTGAGTTGGTGAGTGAGTGAGTGGGTGAGTGAGTGTGTGGGTGAGTGGGTGAGTGAGTTGGTTAGTGAGTGGGTGAGTGAGCGGGTGAGTGGATTCTTGGTGCTGCGCTGTGAATTCTCTAGGGGAGCGGACACCGTGACACTCCCAGAAGGAAGTCCGCCGGGTGGCTGATGGGATGCGTGAAAAATACTTTTTAAAAATAACATTGATAAATACTCCACGTGTCGGGGTGGAGTAGGGTGCGAATCAGGCGTTTGGCGTCTTCTCGGTCTGCCCGTGTTGTTGTCGCTCGCTGCTTTGGGTCTAATTACGATGGTGAGTCGCGTTGTTTACCAAATTCTTCAAAGTGTCCCGGCTAATTAACGACTCCGGTTTCGTTAATTGGGCCGCCAGCGCTCGCTCAGTGTCGCTTCGAGCGCCACGGGCACTGCGAGCCTCGGGCTGCGACAGAGCGGAGCAGCCAGGCGCGGGGTCACCGGGGTCAACGCCTCCTCATCATCATCCTCATCGCACAACACCTCCTCCTCCTCCTACGCCTCCTCGGAGACGCCCGTGTATAACCATGAACTCGTTCACTCAACCACCCACTCACCCTCCCACCCTGCCACTTAACCACTCACGCATCCACGCACTCACTCACCCACGACCCTCCCACCCTACCACTCACCCGCTCACTCACCCACTCACTTAGCCACACACTCACCCTCCCAACCTGCCACTCACCCACTCACTCACCCACTCACTTAGCCACACACTCACTCATCCACACACTCACTCACTCACTCATCCACTCACTCACCCACCCACCCACTCACCCACTCACCCTCCCACCCTGCCACTCAACCACTCACGCATCCACACACTCACGCACCCACTACCCTCCCACCCTGCCACTCACCCACTCACTCACCCACTCACTTAGCCACACACTCACTCGTCCACACTCACCCTCCCACCCTGCCACTCAACCACTCACTCACCCACTCACTCACCCACTCACCCTGCCACTCACTCACCCACTCACTTAGTCATACACTCACTCATCCACTCACTCACTCACTCATCCACTCACTCACCCACTCATCCACACACTCACCCACTCACCCACCCACCCTGTCATTCAACCACCCACTCACCCACCCACCCACTCACTCACCCACTCACTTAGCCACACACTCACCCACTTACCCTGCCACTCACCCACTCACTCACCCACTCACTTAGCCACACACTCACTCATCCACACACTCACCCTCCCACCCTGCCACTCACCCATTCACTCACTTAGCCACACACTCACTAATCCACACAATCACCCACCCACCCTGTCACTCAACCACTCACTCACCCACCCACCCACCCACTCACTCACCCACTCACCCACTACCCTCCCACCCTGCCACTCACCCGCTCACTCACCCACTCACTTAGCCACACACTCACTTAGCCACACACTCACAAGCCAACCCTGCCACTCACTCACACACTCACCCACCCATCCACCCCTGCCACTCATACACTCACCCACTCACCCACCCACCCTGCCACTCACACACTCACCCACCCACCCTGCCACTCACTCACACACTCACCCACTCACTTAGCCACACACTCACCCACTTACCCTGCCACTCACCCACTCACTTACCCACTCACTTAGCCACACACTCACTCATCCACACACTCACCCTCCCACCCTGCCACTCACCCATTCACTCACTTAGCCACACACTCACTAATCCACACAATCACTCACTCATCCACACACTCACCCACTCACACACCCACCCTGCCACTCACTCACACACTCACCCACCCATCCACCCTGCCACTCACTCACACACTCACCCACTCACCCACCCACCCTGCCACTCACTCACACACTCACCACCGGATCATCAGAACCCGGGTGGCCGGGTTCGCAGCGCGGGGCGCTAACCACTGCACCACCGCTCCCCAACAGCGTTCCTCGTCGATGCCGTGGGACCAGATCGGAACTCAAGAGACCAAGAGGGACCCGGGCACTCCGAGATGACAAAAAGCGATAATAACATCCATACATCCACACACGTACGCGCACACACACATTCACACACGGACCCCAATCACCACCGCCATCATCACACCTCTGTCCACGCCACGTCAACACCGCCATCATCATCATCGTAACGGCATAACACCTCGGCCGCGACAACTTCAGACCGTCGCGTGTTTCCCTAAGCACGTGGAAGTGCCAATTCGAGTGTGCGGACGTCTGAGTAATATTACACACACACAATAGACAAATATCCCCCGTATAGCCTTCCACAGACTGTTGGGGCAAGTGCTGTTGTGAGTGGCCGGCACGGCAACACAAGGTGGGATGGGTGGCCACCGCCACGCCCGGCCGCCTTTGTCTCCCCAGTGGCGATGTTTACTACGCACCACGCCAGGTACGCATTTGAGGCTGAGTCGACTTAGCGGGAGGCTCAAAACCGGCTCAGATAATCGTCATTGGGTCACCGGATTCGTAGCGCAGCGCGCTCACCACTATACCACCGCTCCCCCCTACAAAGACAAAGATCCCCCATATGGCCTTTATCAGACTGTAGGGGCAAGTGCTGTTAGCGAGCACCTATGAAGGCCGGCACGGCACACGCGCGCGTGGGTGGCCAACACCAAGCTCGGTCGCCTTTGTCTCCCCAGTGGCGATGTTTACACATCGCACCAGGTACTCATTTAAGACTGAGTTGACCTAGGGGAGGCCCAGAACCGGTTTACATATTCGCGATCACTGTTATTGGGCCACGAGCAGGAATCGAACTCGGGTCGCCGGGTTCGTAGCGCAATGCGGCTGACCACTACATGACCGCTCCCCCACACAAGACAAAGTTCCCCCGGATAGTCTGTAACAGGCTGTTGGGGGCAAGTGCCGTTAGCGAGTGGCGCCTATGAAGGCCGGCACGGCAGCACGTGGCACACTCACTGCGCACACGTGACAGACGATCTGCTGCTGCTGCTGTCGCGTTGTCGGTGTCGCACAAACAACACCACCACCAACAACAACACAAACTCAACACGTGCCGTGTCAATAACAACACCACTAACAACAACACAAACTCAACACGTGCCGTGTCAATAACAACAACACCAACAACAACACAAACTCAACACGTACCGTGTCAATAACAACACCACCAACAACACAAACTCAACACGTGCCGTGTCAATAACAACAACACCACCACCAACAACACAAACTCAACACGTGCCGCGTCAATAACAACAACACCACCACCAACAACACAAACTCAACACGTGCCGTGTCAATAACAACACCACCAACAACAACACAAACTCAACACGTGCCGTGTCAATAACAACAACACCACCAACAACAACACAAACTCAACACGTGCCGTGTCAATAACAACACCACCAACAACAACACAAACTCAACACGTGCCGTGTCAATAACAACAACACCACCAACAACACAAACTCAACACGTGCCGTGTCAATAACAACAACACCAGCAACAACACAAACTCAACACGTACCGTGTCAATAACAACACCACCAACAACAACACAAACTCAACACGTGCCGTGTCAATAACAACACCAACAACAACACAAACTCAACACGTGCCGTGTCAATAACAACACCACCAACAACACAAACTCAACACGTGCCGTGTCAATAACAACAACACAAACTCAACACGTGCCGTGTCAATAACAACACAAACTCAACACGTGCCGTGTCAATAACAACACCAACACAACACGTGCCGTGTCAATGACAACAA